TTTATTGTGAATATCTGGTCAATTGTAGAGCGGCCCGGTCTAAATCCGCATTGATAATCTCCAACGATTTCTTCTGTGTATGTTTTGGTTAAAATAAATGTATTAAAATAAATGTAGTTACAAAAAATTGTACATAATGTTGTTTTAAATATGTGATGTTTGATATTAAGTTAAATTTGGCTTCAGGTAACATACACCCACAAACCATACATACAGAGTATGTATGATTTGTGCATACACCAATGGTTTGAATGAGTTCCAGTGTCCGGATAGTAAACCTCTTCAAACGGACTACAGCTGTCAACTGATTGACAAAATACCTATGAACAATGAACATGAACGTAGTCGAAAACAAAATGTCAATGTAACATGAAACTATATTAGTTATACATAGTATTACCACAGTATAGTGCTTTAAAAGCACTATACTGTGGTATTACTACAGCCAAACCCCCTCTGTGGCTCAGTGGTAAGAGCGCCTGCCTTTAAACCTAAAGGTCGTGAGTTCGAATCCCACCTGGGTGGAAGTTTTCGTTTATTAAAAAAATTAATAAATGAAAATAATTTTTATCCTTGTGTGATCGGTACACACCGGAGGGACCGCAGACGTTCGGATACAATTAGCGTCTCTTAGCAAAGACAATGACGTCGACTTTGCTAAGTATCAAGACAATTACTCTACACACACACACACTACACCTCAAATTGTAAGATTGGCGAATGGATTTAGTGTCCGCAGTCATTTAAACACAAACAAACAACAAATACTACAGCCAAAAGATTCAAAAAATTTTGATGATGTTAAAAAAATAATAACAGCAATCCAGGTGTTGGGATTTAAAAACTTTTTATTTATTTAATTTTGGATATAAAAGATGTGAAATTACCGATGGCGTTAAAGGTCATGTTTAAGAGAATGACGTGTGCATTAGGCAACCTATGCTACTCTTTGTCGTATAGAGTGTGGTCTGAAAAGTGTAATTTATGTTGGATTAGCTTAGATATACATATATGAAAATGTCCTTTTATGTTTATCACATCTAGGACAAGGTAAAATTGAATAGTATATATTTAAAGCTAATATAACACCTCGTATTTAAATGACATTGTTTAAGACTGCTCGTATGGTGAAAAAGTTAATAAAAGTAAGACCAATAAATTGAAAAAGGGGTTAGAAATCTTCCGGCTGAAGAAATTAAATTTATAACCTATGGGATTAAATTTAAAATTGAAAAGGCTGAGCTCCTCAGAGACTTGATAAGAATAAAAGTAAAGGAAATGACTGAAAAAGAAGGGGAGGGTTATAGGAGAGAAAGAGCTAATAGAGGTCCTTCATGCTGAAAGCATCTAGCACCCTGAACAAAATCTATTTTGGTTGTATTAAATTCGGTTTATAAAACCTGAAATTTGATGTGTGATTGTGCTACTAAGTTGTTGATCAAGAGAAAGGGAGCGATGGTTAATTAGGATTTTTTTTGTAATGGGATAAATTGTTAGATAATGTTTAAATGGTTACTGAGTTTAAAGTTAATGAGTACATGTTTGATATATAAATTGACCAAGAAATAATGAAAGAAAGAAGGATGGACAGGAACGTGATGTAGACGTGAAGAGTGTAGAAAATGATGAAATAGTGTGGTATGATAAATGTGGGTGGTTCTGAAGTTAACAATAGGGTCGGAAAATTTAGGAGGGGAGGAGGGGGGCTGTGACGATAGTGCACGGCAAGGCTCACGTAAAGAAAAAAGGGAAAATTACATATATGGTACAAAGAAATGTATTGGCTAGTTAGAAGAAACTGTACATTGTCGATGCATAATAAGTTATTACTTTACAAACAAATATTGAAAACTGTATGGACTTATGGTCCACTATGGGGGTGTACTAGACCAAGTAATATAACAATAATACAAAGATTGCAGAATAAAATACTGAGAAATATTGTAGATGCTCCTTGGTATGTGACAAACAGTGACCTCCATAAGGACCTAGGTATAGAAACTGTGGACATAATCATTAAGAAGATGGCAGGAAGTCAACAGCAACGACTTCATAGGTATGAGAATATTGAGGCAATTCAGATTCTCGATACTACTGGGCAAACGAGAAAATTGAAGAGGAAAAAGCGTTTTGAACTAGTTTGAGTGATAGGTGATATTAAAAAGCAGAGCATAGTGCTTGTGAGCATGTGAATGTTAGAGTAGTGCACTATGTTGTTAGTTAAGATAAGAGAAGCTATGGGGTAAGCTCTTAATTTTAAGGAACAGTAGTAAGTTAGGTTAAAATAAAATTGCTCATTGGTCACACACGCTCTTATTGACAAACAAAATTTAAACAGAATTACCAGAAGACTTAAAAATCTATTAAAAGAAGAGAAAAACTGGGAGATCCAAACTTACTTATAAAATTTGACTTCGTCCAAAGACACCAATTATTCTCTATGGAAGGCGATGAGAAAGGTAAAAGGTCCACAAGACGCCATACCTCCTCTAAAATATGTCAAAGGTAAATGGGCAAGAACAGATACAGAAAAATCTGAGACATTCGCTGAACATCTTTCTACAGTATTTAGCCCATTTAATAGAGTAGTGCCACTAGAACAAGAAGAACCATTTAATTCTTTTCTTGAGGCTCCATATTAAATGGAACTACCAATCACCAAGTTTAATATTAAATAAGTAAAACAGATAATAAAGAATGAGATACAACCCAATAAGGCTCCGGGATTCGACCTCATAACGGGTAAGATCCTCCAGGAACTATCAAATGACTGTTACAGAATAATCACTATGATTGTCTGAATTACTTCCCTCTGCAATGGAAAGTGGCACAGATTATACTCATTCAAAAACCTGGTAAAGATCCAAAAGATGTCAACTCATACCGACCGATTAGTCTACTCCCAGTCATCTCTAAGGTCTTTGAAAAACTTCTGCTACAAAAAATCAGACCAGTATTGGACGAAAAGTATATCATACCTGACCATCAATTCGATTTTCGTAACCAACATGGTACAATCGAACAAGTTCACAGACTATACACAACAATAAGAAGTAGTCTCGAGAAAAAGCAATACTTTTCAATACAGCCTTTTAGACGCCTCTCAAGCTTTTGACAAGGTGTGGCATACAGGACTTCTATACAAATTAAAGAAAAATTTACTTTACTCTTACTTTAAACTGCTTCAATCATACTGTACAGAAAGGAGATATCTGGTAAAATATAGCGAAGCCTTTACAAAACTCTACCCCATCCTATCTGGTGTACCTCAGGGCAGTGTGCTTGGACCGATTCTGTACCTGATATATACGGCTGACTTGCCAATAAGCAATAACCTAACGCTTGCAACATTCGCAGATGATACTGCTTTCTTGGCCTCTCATAGCAACCCAATAATGCATCAGAGAGACTGCAACTACAACTGAACAAAACAAATGAATGGCTTAAACTCTGGAGAATAAGAGTAAATCCCTCAAAATCCACACAAATTACATTCACTCTAAGAAGAAGTACATGTCCACATGTTAACCTCAATGGACATCCTTTGCCCCAAAAGCATGACGTAAAATACGTAGGTATTCACCTTGACAAATGTCTAACTTGGACCAAACATATATGGACGAAAAGGCTTCAATTGGGAATTTTATACAAAAAACTTTACTGGATGTTGGGGAAAAACTCTCACCTATCGGTTGACAACAAGCAGCTGATATACAATACAATAATAAAACCCATTTAAACATATGGCTCGCAGCTCTGGGGTTCAGCTAGCAAATCTAATATTATGATAATACAAAGATTTCAATCCAAAACTCTGAGAACAATTGCTAATGGACCTTGGTATATCCACAATGATGCAATACATAGAGATCTTCAGGTACTCTGAAGGTAACAGTCTCTGAAGAGTGCAAAAATTCTTCTGAACAATATCAAAACAGGTTGCGGGTGCATCCTAATACCCTGGCACATAATCTTCTGAACAACCAACAAGCGAAGAGATTGAAGCGACATGACCCCTTGGACCTACCTCACCGATCCTGACAGAGCCTACACAGCAGTGGGAGTTACGCATTCAACAGCACCCAGCCATTGTGATCAATGCCGCTTTTAGTGCTCGCGTATCAGTGTATGTGCGCATCCTACCGGTAAACAAGCCAATTTGTGTCGTGATGATTTGGTCACTGGGCCTTACATCTCTCTGTCATGCAAAGACAAAAAATTTTACTTATTGTTTTCACTTCAAAATAGATCGTAAAAATCTTAAATGTTAATAAAAAAAAATAGTCACTTATGACCAGATTGTAATTGTAATACTCATCATCGCAGTGATGATTATGGAATAAAACAAACATAATATTATGCATTATATTTCTCTGTTAAAATGTCGTGTCTCAATTTCCTAACTGTATTCTAACAATATAATTTTTATTGTGGCATTATATTCAGAAATGATACAAAATTCGTCAAAATTATTCCATGTACAGTTTATGTTTCATAGAAGTAAAACTTCCTGAACTTTAATATTATTATTCAGTGCCACATTTACGTGCTAAAACTTGAGAAACTGGCAATGGGGATATTTCGGCGAAAGTAGCTCACTGCAAATGTTAGTTGCGAGGATAATTGTACTCTAAATGTATGAGTATGACTCCGAGAAAAATATTTAGTTTAACAGCAAACGGTGTAATATAAGCACGAAATTTGGCAGCGAAGTAGGTCAACATTAATATGATGTTGCTAAAAGGGTAAGTGGTAATAAAAATATATTTTAATTTGTATTAAGCTGTTTTTTACTATAACAGAAAAATAAAACGATAAGATGTCATGTCTTAACTTTATTGATATATACATTTGGAACTTAAAATTAAATAGTTTAATATGAAAATCTTGATAATATCTATGATAATTTTATAGAAAAATTTTAAGAACGTTCAAATATGCTTATTTTCTTTCACCTATTATTTTACTTATTTTAAAACATATTTTAATAACAAAACAAACTAGAACGAAAAATCTGTATTTTGTACATTTTCTGCCGTCCATTCATCAAAGGCCTGTATAATCTCAGGAGACATTTTCGCCTTATAATCCCCTACCTTTCCCGACCTCATAAATGTACCATCACATTCTATAAGTTTAAACTTTCTATTCAAGCTCACAATCATTTCGTAGTTAACGGCGGGATTTTTCTTCATACTTTCGAAACTCAAATGATCAGATAAAGTGGCGATTTGTTCGTCGGTGAGGGGTGTTTCTAGAAAGTCGGCGACTTCTTTTATTATGGAAGGCAGGTCTTGGATCATCTTTTCGTATTTTAAGAATAAAATATTTGGCTGGTTTCGTTTCTCCCAAAAGGGCAGCACGTGATTCCAATACGGTGCGAAGGTTACTGAAAATTAAATATTTTATTAATATTAATATAGAGATATCTAAGAAAATTTCAATCTAAGAAGACCATAAAAACACTTTTATATTTTACTAATCAACAGTGACGTAGTCACCATACTCAAGGATGTGAGATTTTTTTATTTATTTATTTAATGTCGTTCGAACCACTGAGGTTATAGACGACAACAATGAAAAATACCTATCAAAAAGCAAAAAAAAGGTTATAATATTATGCTAACATAAAAGAAGATTGATATATGTAATTTGTGATACAAACTAGATTTGTCATTGGAAAGGTTGAGTTTACTTCTTGTTTCTTAGAAAATTTGACATTAGGTTAAAATATGTCTCACTGTACTGTTAGGTCAATGCAGAAGAAGACATATACTCCGTTTTTGAAGACACAATAAGAAATATTTTATTTAAATAACTACTCATAATCATGCGCGATTTTAACGCTAAGGTAGAAGAAACAAGAAATGATAACATCCAAAATGTAGGAAACTATGGGTTAGGTATTAGAAACAGCCAAGGCGATCGTTTGATAGCTTTTGCAGCCAAAAACAGTTTGGCCATTGTAAACACAATGTTCAAACATCATGCCCGTCGTTTATCGACGTGGACCAGCTCAAATGGAGAATACAAGTACCAAATTGACTACATATTGATTAGAAACAGATGAAACACATGTTCAAAAAACGTAAAAACTAGACCAAGAGCTGAATCTTGATCTGATCATAAATTGTTATGGGCTTGCTACTAGATGAAGCTAAAAAGAACAATGCCGTAGCAAAATTAAAACAGGCTGGAGGTTTCAAATCCGAAAACATTTAGAGATGAATTAAAGGAAACTAGTATGTTGAACACACAAGACAACTCAGAAGCAATTTTGAAAGGTTTCAGAAATGTCATAGAAACCTCTGTAGAAAGAACCAGAACCGAAAAAAAGATCATCTCCAGAAAAAGGCACAAGAGAAGACATCCTTAATGTCAGACAGCTAATCGAAAAAACTCGTGAATTCAATACTTCTATCCTTATGTGCTTTGAAGATTACACAAAGGCCTTCGATAAAGTCAAATGATAGCAGCTATGGTCCATATTATCGGAAATGGGAGCACCCCACCACTTAATTCAACTAATTAGAAGTCTATATGAAACACCCATTCCGATCATTTCAGAACAGAGGCAGGTGTCAGGCAGGGATGCATAATCTCGCCAATTCTGTTTAATATCTACAGCAAACATATTATGCGAAAGGTACTAGACGGATGGAAGGGCGGAATATCAGTAGCAGATCAAAAAATCAATAACTTGAGATATGTTGATGACGCTTTAATAATCGCGGCAAATCAAGAAGAAATGGAAGACATTATGAGATGCCTGGAGGAAAAAAGCAAAACATATAACTACTAAACAGGACTAAAGCTAAATAGGAGTAAGACAAATATCATAATAGTAGATAGAGCGCGGAATAATCTTCAACACATCAAGGAAATTGGGGGCTTTGAAATAGTAAATAGTTTCATATACCTGGGGTCCCTAATAACAAATGACGGGAGGTATGACAGAGAGATACGTAGAAGATTTACTATTGCTAGAACAGCTATGATGAAATTGGTAGCAATTTGGAAAAATTCTAGCATAACAATACACACAAAACTAAGGCTGGTAAGGGCGCTCATTTTTCCCATAGCCACATATGCATCTGAAACGTGGACCTTAAAGAAAGCGGAGAAAAATAAACTGGACGCTTTTGAAATGTGGGTATACCGCCGCGTATACAATTTACAACAATTTAAAGTAAAGGATAGATTGGTTAAACAAATATAACAGAGATATTTGCAGTATTTTGGACACATTGCTTAAAGAACAGGTACGATGGAAAAACTGATAGTCGAGGGTAGAGTTGAAGAAAAGAGATCTAGGTGGCAGTATGGGAGGTTGTCTCTTGTGATTCGGTAAAGATGTATATGGCGGCTGGGGCCAAGTCGGAGACGAGTAAAGATGACTTGTTTTTGTAGGTGGTAACAAAAAGGCTTGTTTTGTAAAGCATTGTCTTTAATTTGACTTAGTTTTTTCAGAACACTACGACCATTTGTTTTACCACGCACAACTAACTATGTTTTTTAAGCACAATTTAAGATTACCTGGCACTATTTTATTTAGTTGAACTTGACCATCACTTTTCACTGCTTTGTGAGCTAGATGCTCCACAACTTCGTTAATATGAGGTGAAACGCAGAGTAATACCATGTGTTTATTTTCCGTTGCAGCATTTTGAAGTTCTTTGTAAATGTCTTTATGAATAGGGCTGCTGGAGTATATGTTTTGGATGTCACAAAGGACATTTATTGAGTCAGATATGATTGTGTAATTTCTCTGGTCCGTTCTGTTATTGAATTTTAGAGCTTCAAGGATTGCGTATAGTTCTGCGTTGGAGATAGTCCAGTTGTTATGCAACTTAAATTTAGCATTATGATTATTAGATAAAATGGCTGCTCCCACTCCGTCCGTTATTTTTGATGCATCTGTGTAGATCTATTGGTAGTCGCTAAATCTATCCATAATGTCTTTGAAGTGGTTTAATAATATAGTTGGTGAGGATTTATGTTTATTCAATTTTGGTAGACCAGTGATCACTGGTGGATTATTTACAGTCCATGGAGGAGAAAGGTTTTCGGTAGATTGGTATATTGTCGGAAATATTATGCTATATTTATGAAGTAATAGGTTAATTCATTTATAGAAAGGCATATTGCATTGAGGGTGAGATGAGAAGTAGTGGCTGAAACGATTGTTATGAACGTTATGGTAGACTGTTTATCTGCAGACGATCGAACTTTACAAGCCAACGACAAACTTAAAAAATCTCTTCTAACTTCTAGAGGGATTTGCCATGACTTACAGCATATACTTAGTATGGGGCTTGTTCGAAAGGCGCTCAAAGCGACTCGCAGTCCCGTGTTTTGAATTACATCTAGTTCTTTAAGAAAAGATTTCTTAGCTGAGTTATATACCACTGAGCTGTAGTCCAATTTTCATCGAACTTAGGTTGAAAAGATTCGTAAAAGAGTTGCCGTATCGCTGCCCCAGGTGATATTCGACAGTGTCTTCAAAATATTAATGATTTGCTGGCAAGTACCTTTTAGATTTTTAATGTGACTTTTTCAAACCGAAACCGTGTTTTGTCAAATTTTCAAAGACCGAGAAATTTTCTTCTACAAAGATCAGATTTTTACCATTCAATGTTAAAATTTGATTATCCTCTTTTCGCTTTTTTGAGAAGAGCAAGCATTTTGTTTTTTGGTTAGAGAAGCTGAGTCCTGTTTTGTCAGACCATTTCTTGAGATAACTTAATGTACTTTTAAGGACTCTTTGGGTGGATTCTAGATTTGTTTCTCTTAGTAAGAGAAGATCGTCTGCGTACAGTTTTTCTTTAACTAGTTGTTGACATTTTTCGAATTGTTGATATCTTTAGTTGCAACAAGAAATAAAGTTACATTTAACCCCGATCAATGGGGACTCCGTTTTCTAGGATTCGAGTTGATGATAGTGTTCCATTTGCTCGTACCCAAATCTATTTGACGAAAGCTGTTTTGCAAAAAGATAAGTAATTTTTTATCTTCCAGAAACCATGTAAGGCAAAGGTTTAAAAAATTTATGAATAGCTTACAGGTTGACGAGGTTAGGGATATTCGTCTATAGGACTGGGGATCTTTTTTCAGTTTTTCAGGTATAGCGATTGGAATAATATATGATTCTGACCATGACTTTGACATTTATTGTTTGATATTGTCAATGTCAAGTGGCGTTAGGCGCATGTTTTAAAGTAACATTTTTGGGAAAATTACTGAAAGCTGGTATTCCATACATTAATTATTATCTTTTCATTAAGAAATGGATCCTTATCAAGGAGTGACAATATGCATGGTTATCACACTCCACTTATTAACATATCACACACACTGACAGAAGCGTTTACCTGGAAATTGTTATCAGACTATATTTGTTATATAATGTTATTAAGCCAACTGCCCTGCCTTAGCCAAATTTTATTACACATCGCACTAGAATGATTGAAAATGTGTTGACCACAGTCAAAGTATAGAGAATGAACTGGTCAGCAAACTCACCTGACTTGAATCCAACCGAGCATGTGTGAAAATGGTTTTATGAGTCCAATTTAAAAGACCAAACCCAACGATAACTCTTCTTAAGCTGATTGTGGCAATACAGGAAGAGTGGGACAATATTTTTCAAGAACATATTGACATTTTCGTCCACTCAATGCAAAGACGGGTCAATCCATACCTTTAGAACAGATGAGATTATACTGAAGATTAAGGTTGTTATTTCTCCCATAAGTTTGGTTATTTTAGTTAATTAAGAATTGTAATAAATTTACATCAATTACAGAGTCAGCAGAACTAATAATAGGAAAAAAGAAGGACGAAAACAATAAAATGGTTTAATAAAGAATGCCAAGAAAAACTACAAGACAGACAGAAAAAGCGAAACATTATGCTTCAACAAGAAACAACAGAAAGTAAAGAAAACTATACAACATCACGACGAGAAACAAGAAAACTAATTAGAGAGAAAAAAAGAAAATACGAACAACAGCAGTATGAAGAAATGGAAAGAAATAGACAACAGTCAAACAGTCGAGCATTTCACAAATCTGTGTCAAACGAAAAGAGAGGATTCAGACCTAACTGCGTGTCTGTACTGAGGAAAAATAATGATGAATTAATAATCATCGAAAAAGAATTACTCCAAACATGGCAAGAATATTTCAAAAATTTACTTAATATACACCAAGATGAAGAACATGGAGAGGATATATACCTTGGGGTGGACCTACCGGTAGAGTACCCAAAAATAGAGGAAAATTGCAAGCAGCTAACACATTGAAGAACGCAAAAGCTCCAGGTTCTGACAATATACCAGCTGAATTTCTTAAGTACGGAGAAGAAACTTTACATAGACAATTACACAAA